GGGGGGGAGACAGAGTAGATAGTTAAGTAGAGTAGAATTTCAGACCTTCAGATGGAGATGGTATGTGTCCTCAAAACAGTGGCAGCTAGCAGCAGGTCTACATGACGTCTCAAATTTAACGTTATCGATGAAATGTCTATGTAGACAGGTGATATTACGTGGAACATGGTTATGATGGATACACCCTGGATACTTAATTGCCTCTAACAGTTTTTCTTTCACTGTTTCACAGTTACTGGGTGAAGAACGGTTCAAAGCGATTGACAAGATTAAGACAGTTGGTTCAACGTACATGGCTGCTATAGGTCTCATGCCAGATCTTCGTATACTAGACGAAGATGAAACAACAGCAGGGTTTTACCTAAGTACTCTAGTCGAATTTGTGTTTGCAATGAGGGATAAACTGCTCAATATTAATGAGAATTCATACAACAACTTCATGCTACGAGTTGGTGAGTGTACTTGATAATGATATATTTCACTTGAAGAGTAACAGAGAGATTCTGCGTCTTCATGGAGAATATTCCAACAGGTGGCAGAATATCTTATGCAGTGTTTCCTTCACAGCTTATTTTTTTTCTTTATGATGTTAAATGATAAATTTAAAATGAGGCACCTTAGGTATATTGTTTGAAACATTGCCTGAATCTACTTTTGTTAGAAATATTATATTCATTTGTTAATACAGGAAAGAAACTTTGTGTTCCAAATAGTTACATGAAGTTTATTTTACTAGATCCATATATTTACTAGCTTTGTACTTTAAAAGTACATATTTAAATATAAAACTTCTAATCATAGTAGTGTTATGTACATTTTATGTTTAATTTGCTTTATTTGACCACTATTGAATATATAAACTCTAAAGACATTCATTGTACAGAGTACTCAAAACATCTTATAGGCTATTGTTGATAAATAGTGTCATTTGTAACAAAAAACTAATGATAATAGCACACGTTGAAGATTACCGCCATCTTTGGTGATGCATGCATTTATTGTTTCCTGTATGTTTGCTGTGACACGGTGAAGAATTGCTCGAGTATTTTTTTAAATGCACGTCTCGGTATTTTGTCTCATTTCTTTCAATGTGTGACAGTTATTTTTACATAATGTCTCATAATAATACGTGAAGATAAAAGTGGGGTGACAATTGATCTGGAGATATGGGAGCTCACACATTTTCAGATATAATGCCATACAAATTAACCAGAATTGCTTGTTTCAGGTATCAACATAGGACCCGTAGTGGCAGGCGTTATAGGAGCAAGGAAACCTCAATATGACATCTGGGGGAACACGGTGAATGTAGCAAGTCGTATGGATTCTACAGGGTTACCAAACCACACACAGGTAAACTAGCAATAATTTTAAGAGTTTTATAATTACGATTTTTTATATTTTAATCTTAGGTTTTTATGTGAGAAATTAATTTTCATAGATACTTAAGTGCTGACATACTTGGAGTGAAAGAGGTAGTTTTTGTCTTATTTCTAGTCCATATATGAGGATACAGTATCATAACAAGCATTTGTGTATGAAATAGTTTGGTTATAATTTGGCCCTCTCCGTCTTGGTTTTTACATTCTTACAAAATACTGGTATAAGTATACAGAACATTTGTATATATGTGTGAAAAGTGACAAGATCTTAGGTATGTTGCTAATGTATATTATATCAAGTAAAATAGCTGTTTAGGTTGTTGACATGGATGGATATATTTAAAAATATAGTATTCTGTAATATGATATGTTGTTGATTTGAGCAGGTAACTGAGGAGGTTTACCAGGTGCTTAAGAATTTCCCGTATGAGTTCCAATGTCGTGGTAAAGTAAAAGTGAAAGGAAAAGGTGATATGACTACGTACTTCCTCACTGACCGTAAACAGCCAGGCACTGTCAGAGTAGATGATCTTCCTGGTATGCGTAATGCAGCCAGTACTGGCGGCGGTAAGTCCTGTAACAAATAATTTTATCCTAGAAGACTTGTTGAATGCATTCAAGAATATTTTGTCAATAGCATGTTGACATTTTTAGACTGTTGATGAACCATTTTATTACTTGATACTTCTGCCTTTATGATGAAACAGTAAAAGAAATTGTAAAGCAGGAATCTTTAGCTGGAAAGATAGAAATAAATAAATAATAATAAATCCATTGATTGACAGTTACATTGGACATACAGTCATTGGTCAGTTTAATCCTCTGGCCCCTGAGGAAAGGACCTTCAGTTCCTATTGGGTAGGAGGCTGTGTGGGTCTCATAACTGGTCTAGATGTTGTGGTGAAGGGAACAAGTTAGGAAGTAAACACATAGCATGACAATTCTGGCACGTGATTTTGTTAATTGCAAAGGATGATATTAATTACATATGTTAATTGTCTCACATCAGGGAACATGTATGGTGGAGTTGCCACTCCTTTGGCTCTGCTACATCAGATGCAGCAGGGAAGTGCATCAGAGGTAAATGGCCGCGGGAAGCCACAGCGACCATCATGCTCTCGAGATGAGGGAAATGGTGCCTCTTCACATTCTCATCATGGTGGCTTCTCAAGTGGGGTGCACCCCAGCTTGCTGTTGCGGAACACTTCTAGACTTCCCCCCCTCCGTGAGAACAGTTGCAGAGAAAATGGTGGCGGTGGGATCAGGCATGGCGAGTGTGAGCCCTTGCTCCCTCTGAGTGGTAATGTTATGAAGATCCTCCCCAGCCAACAGCAACGGTCCAATTACATCACCAACAACAGTTCCAGTGGTGGTGGTGGTAGTGGTGTTGGTGGTGGTGGAAGCGGCGGCTGTGTTGGGGGAGGCAAGAAGCTGCACCAGCAGAGGTCAGTGGAAGGAGGAGATTTGGACGACCTAGCAAACTTACCGCCACCCCCTCTACCTCCTCATAAAGGTGGTCAGCAATTTACAAACTTCCAAGGACATTCCTCAGCATCTTCCAAAGGTGTTCCTAGACCGCAAGATGCGACACGTTACACACCCCTTTGGCCCCGGGGAGGGGGAGGGCTGTCTGAAGCAGGTAATAATCGTGGCAATAGTGGCAATCATGTGAGTCATAATAACAGTAATAACATTAACAATATTACATCTTCACACCATCAGAACAATACGGGTAATGACATGAATTCTGGTGCTGTGAAACCTTATATGAAACCACTACCTAAATTACCAGGAAAAGAATCAGCTTCTCCAAGCCATGGACGACATCATCGAAATCAAACAAGAGGACATAATGCATCAGCACCTCCATTACCCCCCCACCAACAGCTATTGCTTCCACCCTTACCCATGAGACCCTCAGAGCACCGTTACATCCGCACCGAGGAGGCATCAGTTCGCACCAAACTTCGCAACAACCACAGCAACCCTCTCCTCCATCTTCAGCGCCACTATTCAGATGAAAGCCTTCAAGGAGCAACAGGCTTCTATTTCCCAAGCCCTGCTCAACAAAGGATTCATTCTTCAGCAGATGAGATTAGCTCCTTGAATCATTCACCCAGTATAAGTTCATCTGATGAAAGTTACAGTAGAACCACAGATGCAGATGCTTCACCATCTCCTTCCCCCCCTCTTCATGCCACAGCTGGTGATCATGCATCCACACAGCAATGGCTGTACCCTTCTGACATCCAAGTAGACCCTTCATCCTCTCTAGAGAACTCCCCCAGAGCTTCACTTGACTATATTCCACCTCATTGTTACCTTCCTGGTGCTGGTGGCACTGTAGGAACCAATTTTAACAATAACCCTAGCGGTGGAGTTCAGTCTGGTGGGGGGAAAATCTCCAACTTAACACCATCTCAAGATCTGCCTCCACCAAACCTCTCAACATCACGGAGCTTCTCCCCTTCCAGTCACCCACCTGTTAGTCGAGGAAGTAGGAACAATGCTTCCTCTGCATCAAGTGCAGCTATAGGTAGTAATGCTTCAGCAACCACAAGACATGACTGGAGTCTGTCTTCAGCTCGTCATCGCACAGGAGATGGAAGTGATGAACGTTCTAGTACTGCTAACTCTCGCAGCAGAAGTACCAAAGCGACAGTGGCAACCAACACAGAAACTCTTCCTCCTGCTACACTGTTAGCATTGGCTGCTGCTGGCAGCACATTGGACTCTTCTTGCTGCAGCCCACTGTCTCATTCTCTTGATGGGCAGGATGCTTACAGAGGTGACAGCTGTGGCAGCTTTGAGTATATAGGGCATCGAAGTGCACTGAAACATGCAACTGAAAAGCCTTCCGGGATACATAGGGCATCTAGTGCAAATGGTGAGCGTGGTCATAGCACAGGTAGTGGCAGATCCCCCAGTAGGAGTCTGAAACAGCTTCATAATCAGGACAGGAAGCACAGTGGGGTTGGTGGAAGTGTTAGAACTGTGCCAAGTGGGTCAGTTTTAGTGTCACCTGATGATAACATTGGGACTAAGGGTGGGGGTGCAGTGAAATATCTTTCCAGTGGTGACAGTGCAGGTGAAAGGAATCATTCACCTGGATATGGAGACGATGTTGAGGAAGAAAACTCACGTGCAACTTCTACAAGTGAGAGGTCATCAAAAAAGGATGGTTCTAGTCAGACAGATAGGAAGGACATGTCTAAAAGTCATCGCCGACGTAACTCTTCTGCAGGTAGTGCAGGAGGTACTGGGGGGACACAAGTAGAAGCACACTCCCCACTTGCGTCATCAGTAAATTTGCGACCCGCTGGTGTAGACGGTATGGGTTCAGCTCTGGGAGGCATACTCCCATCTCCCCTTGTTGAAACGGGTTCCAAATATCACTACCAAGGTGCAGCAGCTGTTATAGCAAAGATACCTAACTTTGAACGTGAGATTCAGAAACTGCTTGAAGATCAAAACCTTCTGAAGAACATCCCCTCCAAATGTGAGAAAACACACCAAAATAAAGAGATCATATCTTTGGAGGAGCTGAAGAACGTTAATCAAGTTCTGGCAGAATTGGGACATTCGAGTTACCTGCTTGAAAGAGATCCTGTTGTGGGCATGTTAGGAAGGTATGTACTTAGCAAAAGTGACCATATGGTCAACAATATTAATAATAACAATAACTGTCCAGCACCTCTGCCCCCTCAGCAAGTGGGTTTGGCTGCCATTCAGGAACTTGCAAGGCGCCAGCAAGATGAACTGAACAACATCGTAGTTGCAGCTGATAGGAATCAAACAGGCTTTTGCTTCAACCCAATGCTAGAGAATAAGATTGGTTTCAGCCAACTGCAAGTTCCTCCTACAACATGCATGCAGCA